TGTCGAACGCCGGCGGCGGTTGGTGGCCCGCGTAGACCTCCGGCGCCGGAACCTCCGCAGAGGGGGGCGGGGGCCGCGGGCGGCGCGAGGGCCCCAGCTGGCCCAGGCAGGCCGCCAAGTGGCCGAGCAGGCGAGAGCGCACGTCGGCCGAGACGCCCTCGCAGTCGGCCAGGAAGCGGTTCACCTCTGCCAGACACTCGTTGAAGCCGGCGCGGTACTTGCCCAGGACCGCGGGGTCGGCGCCGAGCGCGGCTGCAGGGGCAGCAGGCGACAGGGGGTCGGTGCCCGCGGGGGTGGTCCCTCGTCCCTCCCCTCTCGCTGCTGCCGCCCGCGCCTCACCTGCCACCTGCACGCGCCGCAAGCTCTGCAGGTGCCTCACAGTCATCTCCAGGATGTCCGCCTTCTCCAGCTTCGAGTGGTGGGAGCTCTGACGACAGGGCCGGTGTGGGCGGCTTGCAGTCCAGGAGGGTCCCAGACTCCAGGCTCCGCGCCTCGGCCCCGCGACGTCACCACCACCACCACCCCCCGCCCCTGACTTACGTCTTTCCTGAGGGCGTCCAGGATGAGGGTCTTGAGCTGCGCCAGACTCTCGTTGATGCGCGCTCGGCGCCGCTTCTCCATGACCGGCTTGGAGGACTGCGGGTCGGACTTCGGCTGAGTCCCGCATCCGCCCGTCCCCGACCCATGCGTGCCACCCACGCCCCGCCAGGTCCCACCTTTCGGTGCTCGGCCGCGCTCCGGGGTTTGTTTGGAGTTCTGCTGGCGCTGGCAGGCGCTCCTGCCAGCGGCGAGGCTCTCGGCTTCCCCGGGGTGTCTGCAGGCATGGTGCGCCCCCGTGCCTGCCGGCGTCGCGCGTCCCTCTCTGGCGGGGCCAGGCTCCTGGCCCGCGCGCGCGCAGCCCGCCGCGCTGCTATTAAGGGAGAGGCGCGCGGGCTGTGTGAACCTGGCCCCGCGTTCTTTCCCACACTCGCGCCAGCCAATGAGCGGCTGGCTCCTCCCCGCTCCCCAACCCCGCCCCCGGCCGCCGCCCGGGGCAACCGTCAGTCACGCGTCTGCTCGCTGCCCACCAACCCGCCCGCCACAAAGGGGAGCTACGGCACCCGCCTGCGCGCGCCGCTGTCACCTCCGGAACCAGGCGGGAAAATCGCCGCGCGAGCGGCGCACCAGGAGGCGGCGTCTCCAGGCTGCCCCGGCCGCGGAACCCCGGGGCTGGGCAGAATCGTGGGGTTCACTTGCAGGCCGAGCGGGGCGGGGACGAGTTGGGGCGCAGAACTGTCCGTGGGCGGCGCGGGAAATCTGAAAGGAAAATTCGCGAGGGGCACCAAGTCAGGCGTCCCCGAGGTGGACGAGCCTCGGCCAACACGCCTCCTGCCTCCTCCGCCGTCCCGGGTCCCCGCCCGGGCCTAGGACCTCTGCACAGCCTCTGAATCGGACCTGCCGGGTGCTCAGCCTCCAGGGACCCGCACCACCTGCAGCGCCTACGCAAGACCTGTGACACAGTAGACGTGGAACACCAGACACTGGGCGGGAGAGGAGTCGGCTGGCCGGGTCATGAGGCAGGGTGGCGTCACAGTACAATGAAATGAGGGCACAGGTCCAATGAAGTGATACCGCAGGGCAGGTAGTGATGTCACAAGTCAGGCAGGATGACGTCATGCAGTATAAGGATGTCACTAGTCAGGCTGGCGATGTCATCAGATAATCAGAGGTGATGTCAGAGTGAATGTGGGTGATAACACAAGCCAGATGACGCGACATCATGAGGCTCGTGATGTCACACTCTTCTACATTAGCTGCACCAGCAAAGCACTCTTGATGTGATGTAGAAGAGTGGTGTCACACTCTTCTACATTAGCTGCACCAGCAAAGTAGGGCTCGCGAAAAGTGAAGGACATCTGTTAAGATTTTGTTTCTTTCAAAGCACCACCGTGGGAGGCAGGGCTCTGCTTATTTCGTGTTCGATGTTTCCATCTTGAATTTCGCTGCGGGCACTGGAGCCGGCCCTCCGGCTGGGGAAGCCCTCCTGGGGCTTCTAATCCCTGCGGGAGGCGACTGCAAACAAACAAAACAATCCCTCCGCCGTAGAGACAGACGGAAGTGGGAGAGAGGAACCCCCTTCCGACCTGGTGATCCGGGTCTTAAGCGCGGTGGGGTCTTCAGGGAAGACGGCAGCCCTGCGAGGCCCCGGGGGAGGGCGCGGCCCCCCGGGATCGCAGGGGCGCGCGGACCTGGGGAGCATCTGGAGAGCTCGAGGTCTTTTCTGACCGAGGGAGAGAGCGGACGGGCCTCTCCGACAGGTCACCTCGGCTTCTGGGGGGCGGTCTACCAGTGGTGGTGTCCACGGCTGGCCCCATCACCGGTTCCCGGGGTCACAGTCCGACCCCACTACGGTGCCGCGCAAAGTTCCGCGTCCCACCTTCCGGAAGCCAGTCTGTCCGCTGGCGCTAAACCGAACCCCCTCCCCCGCCCCGCGCCGGGCAGAGGGCGGCTCAGGTCCTCCCTGCCACCCTCGCGCCCCACACAGCGCCGAGCGCCTGCGGGCCGAGCGTGAGGCCGCCCACTCCCGCCTCCCGCCACAGAGGAGCTGGGCAGGATCCGCGAGGGGACCCTGACTGCCCAGAAAGCCCTGGCTGTGCCGGTCGGTCTGGTGTCAGGCGCCTCAGACCAGTCCTGCTGTCGGGAGGAGATCGCCGGAGCCATGGAGCCCCTGCTCTGACCCCACCGCGGCCCGCGAGCGCCCCGAGTGGCCACCGGGGTCTCCGTCCCCGCTAGGAGTGCTCCGCGGACACTGCGGACCCGACCCTTCCGAGGCTCTGGGATCCGGTTGGCGCTGGGCTCTGCACCGCCCCCAGCCTCCCATAGGTACGGGAAAGGAAGGGGCTTCAGGCTGGAAGGACAGGCCTGAGGGGCCGCCTCCCTGACCGTTCTTTCCCTCAACAGTCGTCAGATGGGGCCGCTTCCTCTCCTGCGCCAGGTATCTGTTTATCTGTCCCCGGGTTATTGGGAAGATGAGTGAGACCCCACTCGGGAAGCAGGTGGAACTGGATGCATGTCAGCCGCAGCTGTCACTGCCCCCCAAGAAGCTGCAGGAGGGGACTGAGCAGAGGGGAGGGGTGCCCCACCCAAGATTTCCAGACGCTGGTGTCTTGGTCCCCCAGCCACAGCCACAGCCAGGAGCCCTCTCTAGGCCACAGCGAGGTGAGCCTCCCCAGGGACGTCACCTACGCCCCCGCAGTGTCTCCCACAGGGCTGCACCCCCTCTGTATGTATGGTCGTGTCTCTCTGTGTCCTCGTCCCTCCAACTGTCCCCTCCCTGTCTTTCACATCTGGGCTTGCCTGCATTTAGGCCCATGGGGCTCCCTTGCTCTGAGTAGGAATGTTCTGGGCTGCGGAGGAGAAATGGTTCTGAGACGCTAGGGTGGCAGACTGCCTTTTCCAGAGGGACGGAGCAGTGTCTGTCACCCCACATGCCTTGTGGAGTGTCCTTGATGAG